TGTGTGTGTGTGTGTGTGTATACACACACATACATATGATCTCTTCTGCTCATTCATTTAAACTTTGGGAATTATGTGAGACTTGGTCCCTGGGGAAACTTAGAGTTTCTGTAGTAATACTTTGCAGTTCATTGAGGCTGAGAAGATGAATACAAAGGGAAACATGTACTTAATAAGTACAAGTGGGCCTGGGAATATTCTCTACCAGCAGTCACTAGAAAAATATTGAAGAAAAAAATTTGTTACAGTTTCTTTGACTTTGTATTTCCGGTTGTTTCTGATCATGTGGCTTTTTTGTCTCAATAGATTCGAGCTGCTAATCTCAGTGGAGACTGTACACTGATGAATGAAATAGCCAGGTTTAAATTTGGATTAAAAGGACACCATCAGGTAAAAACTGTGGATGTTGTCTACTGATTTGTTATGAGCCATCTTTACCTACTTGATTTTGGCCTTTTACACTTCCACAACTGAAAACATCAGAGAGAGAAGATAATGCTATGGACTTGCTGCTTTCTCTTAATTAACCTTTAATAACCTTTCATGATTCATGATAATTTTTTTTTCTGCCTTCTTATTTTTCTTGGAGTGAAATTCCTGATTACTTAGTCATGTCGTAGAGCATTATCATTGACAACTGGTGGTTAATAAGAACCAAACAAAAACCATGGTTTACAGGAAATGTAAGTGGATAAAACTCTAACAAAAGTCTTTGAAAACTTGTGGAAGGAGGGTGACAAGGGTTCTGTATAACCAAGTGTGTTAAGTCTTACAGGAATTAATTTTTTTTTTAATGGTAATGAAGACCATCGGTTGAGTCCCAAGTAGTTGCTCATGTAGAGTGGCAGTTATCTTGTAGCTGGGGATATTTACCTCTTTTTTGTTTTTTTTTGTTTTTTTTTTTTTAATCTTTTAGTAGGCAAACTGTATAAGCAAGTGTTGCCATAAAGAGAGGTATCAGTGAAGGCCAGTAGAGGAGTCATTCACTTATGTTTTACAGCATTTTATAGCATTTCAATTGGAAAAGTACTAACTGGTCTTTATGTCTGGTTTTTTATGACATACTTTATTTTGTGTCCAAGTCAAGTTGTACAAATACTTGATACCTACAACAAATGCCAAGCTGTATTTTAATTCCTGTTCTAAAGAATGTCTTTTACTTATCTGGCTGTTTACTTGCACATGGAAAACTAAACCACATAGTTAACACAGGATAGAACAAAAATGTGCTTTGATGCTTGTTACAGGCATTGTTTGACTCTTCTATGATATGAAATTATTGCATATGTGGTAAGAGTTAATACTTGACCTAATCTGTAAGAAAAATTATTTATGCTAATAATGACATGTTTTTCTTTATCTAATTCCCACTTTAGACTTGTGTACGAGACAGAGCAATTCGTTCCATTCTCGCTGTTAGAAAAGTTAGCAAAGAAACAGCAGAAAAAGCTGTGGATGAAGTTTTTGATGCCTGCTTCAATGATCTGGAACCTTTTGGAAGAATCCCGCACAGTAAAACAGATGCAAAACGTGCTTATAGAGACTTTCAGAACAGAGATCGCTATAATGCTAATTTGTAAAGGAAAAAACAGTGAAAAAATGTTAGATCTGATGGTTCTGTAACATCTGGAGTTACTGTCTATGCACACAGGGCTGGTGGAAAGGGTAATTCTTTCAAATGTATTTGTTAATTTTGTAAACTTTTTCCAGGAGACAACTTCTATGGAAGTAAATGAAGTAAATTAACAAGACTAAAAACCGTGTTTCCTCACGTGTTATTCCAGCAAGATAATTTAATACACCACGTGACTTGTCAAGTAATGATCTGCACATTTCAATGCACCTTTAAGTCTGCTCAGTCTGACTAGGACTTGGTTTTGTTGTTACTGAATAAATGTTTTCATAAAATCTTTAAATTTCCACCATCTCTGATACACAGTCATAAGCTTGATGATCTTCATCACTCCATTTTAAGAGATGGGCACCTGAACTACAGTTCTGGGGTCTAGATTTAATAACTATGGCTAAACCCAGAATTTAGTAAACTGACACATTTATTTTTGAGCACCTCCTGAAATTCTTGGAATTCCAGCTCACTATCTAATGTTAGCCCTTTGGCTTTTTAGGAATTTGACTGACAATTCTGCTTACCAGATCAAACTTACAAGCTGAGTAAGCATTGATGAGAGTCTGTCCACCAGCTTGAGCTTTGGTCAAAATGTTGGTGCAGCTTACTGTCTTCTTCCTGTACTTGCTAGTGGGTAAGTCCATCTGAGGAAAGCAAGAAGCTGCTAGCTTAATTGTAAGCCTGAGAGAAGCTGTCTCATTCCTCTCTTATTTCCAAATACAAAGTATTATTGTGATGGATGCCAGAGAAACACGTTTTCTTCTCTTTCTTGAAATTAAAGTTGCAATTCAACCACAAGTACAGTTCACTGATGGAGGTGTGAGTCCCCAGTCAAAGGTGTGTAGGCATAAGTGCTCTAACAGTTACTGGATCCAGACTCAAGTGAGAAATTTAGTTCCACAAAAGATTAAGTGGTGCCCCAATTGCTGCTGTTTCATATGAAGTGCAAAACATTTTAGACAGGCTTTCGACTTCATAGGATTTCAAGGTCTGAGTAGTGATGGTGGTATCAGTTTTCCTGGGTAAAGTTGTTCGCAATTACAGAAGCATAGATTTGCTGAAGTTGGAAAGGACCTCTGGAGACTCTCTTTCAACCACACTGCGCAGAATATTTCATTGGCACATCCAAATGCCAGTTTTGGGTTTTGCTATTCTCTGCACTTGTCCCTCCCAGACCTAATGCAGCTGTGAAGCAGCCAAACATGGTGGCCTTGAGCTCCAGCAGCAACTAATAACACCAGTACTGTTATCAACGTTCTTCTCATAAGTCTGAACTGAAACACTGAAAGTAAAATACAGCTCTTCTAATTGCCAAAAAGAAAATGAACTCTATCCTAGCAAAACCAGGACAGTCAGCCATTCCAGTCATGTTATTTTACTGATGTAGGTGTAATGATTGGTCAAGTACCAGGAGCTTGGGTGTCCAAGTCCAAGAGTCTGCCAATCATGTTTTGTTCACATTCAATTCAGTCGGGCAAAAAAACTTCTCTGCTCTGCTATTTCTTGAATTCAAACTATCTGGAAATAGCAGTAGGATGCCACCTGCTACCCGGACAGGCTTAGTGTGTAAAGTCACCAGTTTGAACCCAGAGCTCAGGCATAATCACTTGGAAGAGTAGCTGCACATGTACAGGTGTTTTATTTGTTCTCTATTGTAAAATGCAAAAGCAGTCCTGGGAGACCTGGACACCCAGGTCCTGCAGCCCATGTTCCCACTCACCCACTCCCAAAAGAACGTCCCTATCACAGGACCACAATTTTGTTGTTCCGCTCTTGCTTTCTTTGGTGCTGTATATTTTACTTTCTTCAGTTCTGTTTCTCAACAAGGTTTAGAAAGAAAGGAAGAAAAGCTGTATGAGAGTGGAAGTGAAGCCATGGCAGAAGGGCTGGAACTAGATGATCTTTAAGGTCCCTTCCAACCCAAACCATTCTATGATTCTATGACTCCATAAAAATGTTGGGAGAAGGAATTTAAGTCATGGTACAAGGTTGAACAGTTATAAAAAGGTCATGGTTAATTTAAACAGAAAATTAGAAGATGGTATATAAGCATATGAAGAGTAAACGTATTCAAAATAAGAGAGAACAAGGAATGTGTGTTGTTTATGCTGAGGATAAAAAATTTAGAGAAAAGATTAATCCCAGAATGAGAAATGTTAAGTCCTTTAGTATTCCAAAAAGGACGAACTGAAACTAGATTGTTGTCTGTTCACATTTATTTGCATTTTATTTCTGTTCTAGTTATCCTGTATTTCAGGATTTCTCCTGGTCATTGGCAAAATTTTTAAAGGAAAGGACTATTCTTCCTCTTTTAACCTCTCCACCTCCAAAGATGTACAGCTTTGGTTTCCGGTTCTTTGCTGCCCTCCCCTGCAGCACTGGGGAGGCCACAGTGATGGGATGAGTAAGGTTGAGCTAGGACAAGCTGATGGATTTGAGATCTTAAACCCTTATAGTACCACTTTATTGTATTTTACTCACATGCTCAAGGTTAAACTAATCACCAAATTTGGGATCAGAAAGGAAATTTTCCTTGATTAATTTGATAGGGATCACTGGTATTTCTGTCGAGCAGCTGCACGCTATTTCATGCTGTTCAGGCATGAAAGAAACTTCTTTACAGTGAGGATGACAGAGCACTGGAACAGGCTGCCCGCGGAGGTTGTGGAGTCTCCTTCTCTGGAGACATTCAAAACCCGCCTGGATGCCTTTCTATGTGATCTTATTTAGGTTCCTGCTCTGGCAGGGGGATTGGACTAGATGACCTTTCAAGGTCCTTTCCAATCCCCAACATTCTGTGATTCTGTGATTCAGGCACAAGTGCACAGTTTTACGTTTGCAGCTTCTGAACAAAGGGTCCTGTGTGACAAATCCAGTGCTGAGCTGAGCTGTGACAGTGACAAGGCTGCGTGAGTCTGGTCCTTGGAAATGAGTTCTGAAGCAGGCAATTATTCCTGTGCAGTATGAGCTACCTGCACACTGGGGTATTAGTAGGGCGTTAGGATTCCTGAGCCCATAGTGACCACTGGGACAGTGACCAGTGAGAAAAACAGACCTGGAAGGAGCAGCCATCTGAATTGCCTGAGAATTTCGTGTTAAATGATGGTCCTTCTTGTTGCAGGGATGAAGCTCATTGGTGTGACCTTGAATGCTTTCTCTTTCCCAGCTGTGACACAGGCCAGCTAGGATGTTGTCCTTTTTACTGTGGGTCTAACATTTGTCAGCAATGGGAAAGCTTTTATGACTTGAGTCCTTTATGTCCTGAATTGCTGTTCATGTTTTGGTTGTCTCTGGTAGTGGAAGACTGGGTATGATGATCAGTGTTGCCTTCTCCTGTTCTGTGTCCCAATATATTTTGTGGCAACAGGACTGTCAGCATATGAAGCTTTTTCAGGCAATACATAACTGCAAGATTTGGCTGCGGTGGGGCAGCAGACTCCCTGGTGAGACATAAGCAGGAGTGAAGCACTGAACCACTCAGGTAAGGGTAGGTCAGGACACGCACAAATTTCAAGTGCCTGAGAGGTGCTAAGGCTGGAAGAGGAGGGACATGTTGGACTACTGGTGGGTTGCATTTATTCCTAGGTGTAGCATAATTCGTACCCACGGGTACCTTTGCTTCTGGGGCTAAGTATTAATGCAAATCCCTCAGAAAGTCATCCTAGTTGTCTTGGAGGAAGAAACATGTTGGCCAAGATTCCCCAAACTTGTGCTTTCAATAGTTTTGCAGAATTTCAAATGCAGATTTCATAATCTTACTTTCTTGGGGTAATTCCATCAGTGACTGACATAATCACATGTTTGAATATCTGAACAGAAAAAAAAAAAAAAAAAAGATAGAATACCATACATACCTACAGAGAAAATTACATATTGAATTCTAAGCTTCCCATCTTTGATGTAATCTAGGTAGACCTGTCTTTTCTAAAATCCCTTGAGGATCACGGATATCTTGGAACAGCATAATCTTGTGTGTTAATGTTCTCTTAACCTCTGCTGCTTTTCAGATCCCTGTTTTAGTCAGTACGATGTATGATGCTGTTTTTTTATAATACTTCTCACACATACTCTTGCAGATATTTCCTTCCCTTCACTATACCTTATTAACCAAAGTTCTACTTTAATAAATGTGAGTGTGTGTGTTTGTGTGGTTTGAATTTATATAGCATTTTGACCAACACATTGTTTGACTATATACAGTTATCTGCTATCTGGCATAAGCTTTGCCAAGGCTACTTAGAAATGGAAAATACAACAATAAATACTAGAATATGCAAGCACACAAGCTGCTGCTTCTTTTCTTTAGCATTTTTGATAGATGAACACCATCAAAATCTAGGAAAGGGTTCCAGAGATGCCTGCAAGAGATGTTGTTAATAAAGAGTACATTGAGCTACATAAAGACATAACTATATTAAGAAAAAATCTATATGAAATAAAATTACAGAACCAGGAAATGTCAGCTTAAGCAACAGATAAGTTTCAGTTATGACAAGTAAAATTGTAACGGTAGAATAAATGTACTACAGGTCACCATAAAGCAATCAGAAGTCTAATGGGCTTCTTGTCATTCCCTGAGAAAAGGAGGGACAATAATTATATGAAACTTTGCACACACTGTTTATCAATTCAAACAATCATTTAATTGCTTTGAGTGGAATTTTAATCTGCATCATTTTTTCTCATCAAAACAAAGGCTAAAAAACTGAGTAAATGCTCATTGCAAATGAAAAATAAGGGACTCTATTAAGCAGCAGAGGGAGCTGAAGGACCGTGGAACAGTATGCTGCTGCAGAAAGCCACCTACAGACCATACACAGCTGTTGCTCAGTGTGCAGTTCAGTTTTGGTTTAAATCTCTCTTTAAATCAAATTTGCATAACTCTAATGTTAAAACAGGCTAAAAATTAAACATATTTCAATTGCATTATTCTGCTTCTGCAGAATACTTTCTTCCTTTAGAAGACCACCTCAAAACATATATGGAAATACTTTTGCCATCTGTGCTGTTTTGGAGTGTGACTGTGTCTGCAGGGGCAGTTAGATAAATGCTGGGTTGCATGTGGCAGACCAAAACATCAAGCTATAAAAACCCGTCGTCAGTAATCAGAATCATGCAAATTACATTAGCTCAGTTCCTTATTCCTCGCGCCTGAATTTCCACTACATTTTCATTTTGTTTCTTACATCTGAAAGACTTTGAAGTTTTGGCAAAACCGAAAAGAA